CGTGCGCGAACGAAGGTCCCTCTGTCCCCCCTTCCACTGCTCATGGGGGGGGGGGGAAACAATTCGATGTGGCAAAATTGTTTTGAGAGCCAGATTGGTATAGTGGTTAAAGAATGGCGGGCTCTAATCTGGAGAACCAGGTTCGTTTTCCCACTCCTCTGCTGGAAGCCAGCAGGGTGAACGTGGGCCAGTCACAGTTCTTTCAGAGCTCTTAGCCCCTAAACACAAGTCTAGCTCATCACTAGCATAAGGCTAGGAGCTAGAACTTGTGGCTTGCCAGACAATCTTCGGATATCCTGGCTATTCTACACACAACGCCATACAATGATTAATTTAGTTTCGAGTAAACACCCTGCTCATCACTAGCATAAGGCTAGGAGCTAGAACTTGTGGCTGCCAGACAATCTTCGGATCTCCTGGCTATTCTACACACAACGCCATACAATTATTAATTTAGTTTCGAGTAAACACCCTGCTCATCACTAGCATAAGGCTAGGAGCTAGAACTTGTGGCTGCCAGACAATCTTCGGATCTCCTGGCTATTCTACACACAACGCCATACAATTATTAATTTAGTTTCGAGTAAACACCCCGCTCCCCGTGTGAAGGTATATTGTGGATGTGGCAGGTGTTAGGATAATGGGATGGGTTTCCCTGGCTGAGAAATTGGGGCAGTGTAAATTATCTATTCCCTTCGTCTTCCTCCTCTGCTTGTTGGGGTGAATGGATTATTAAACTGCCCCAGTCTCAGCCAGGGAAAACCACCCCATTGCCCTAATACCTGTTGCATCCAAAATAACCTCCACTGACAACAACAGCTGAAATCCACGGAAGGCTCTTGGGTGCTGGCTTCAACTGGATTCCCCTATCAGAGTCCCCGATCCTGCAGCTGATAGTTAAAGGCCACACACCACAATTTACGACAATTGGATTAATATTAGCAAGTTTGGGGTAATTATACTGTTATCTGAATGTTTTCTTGGATCCCTACAAAAACTGAAATCCTCCATTCCTCTTCCTCCACCCCCCACCTGGCAAATGTTTTGTTTCATTTAACTTTATGTTTTTATAAAAATATCTCTGAGGGAGAACTAGGATCCCCTGTGGCAGCCATTTTGTGGTGGGGCCACTACCCTCTCTCAAAATTCCGAAAGCAAGACCCCTGCTTTACTTCCTACCTCAGACTTTGCCACGGAATAGTCTTGTATCATCTGCCTCGTCATCCTGTTTGTCATCTGGGATGATGAGGCAGATGATACAAGACTATTCCGTGGCAAAGTCTGAGGTATGAAGTAAAGCAGGGGGTCTTGTTTAGCCCACAGGTGCTTTCAGAACTCGTGGGCACTCCATGAAATTGCTGAGCGGTCGGGTTAGAACGGATAAAAGGAAGTGCTTCTTCACCCAAAGAGTGATCAACACATGGAATTCACTGCCACAAGAGGTGGCGGCGGCCACAAGCATGGGCGGCTTCAAAAGGGAACTAGATAAGCATATGGAGCAGAGGTCCATCAGTGGCTATTAGCCACAAGGTATAGATAGGGGCTCTGGGGCAAGTGATGCTCTGTCATCTTGGTGCTTGGGGGGGTCAACAGTGGGAGGGCTTCTAGTGTCCTGGCCCCACTGGTGGACTTCCCGATGGCACCTGGTATTTCTGGCCACTGTGTGATACAGAGTGTTGGACTGGATGGGCCATTGGCCTGATACAACATTGGCGTCTCTCATGTTCTCTTATGTTCTTATGTCTCATGCTGCTATTTAATACACTGCCCCCCTGACCTGGAGGGCCCAAGCTAGCCCATTCTCAGAAGCTAAGCAGGGTCGGCTCTGGTTAGGACTTAGATGGGAGACACCCCCCCCCAAGGCAGCCCAGGGTCACCACACAGAGGCAGGCAATGGCAAAGCCGCCTCTGAACATCTCTTGCCTTGAAAACGACCCCTGAGGGGGTCTCCATAGGTTGGCTGTGACTTGACGGTACTTTCCACCACCATTTTAGGCACTGCCAGCCACTGCTGTGCACTAAACCACATTGCTGAGCAGGGTTGGTTCCCTGAGTGGCCAGACGGGCAGAGGTCCGTGTTGATGCGGGAGGGGGCAACAGGTGTGGCACCCGGCATTCTGCCGGCTACCACCAGGGCCCTGCGGGATCTCATGCCATTCCGTAGAGCCTGTCAGGCAGAGACGTTCCGCCAGGATTTTGGCTGAGGGCAGCGACGGTTTTCCACCACAGCCGGCACCCTCCTCTTTTCTTCCCTCTTGCCCCCTTCGGCCTCCTCCTTAACCTGCCCGCGCGATGGAAGAGCAGTCCAGAGTGGGTTTTAGACTGATTATGGACGCCATCTGGAGACGACTAAATTGGGATCGACTGACTGATGATTTTGAGGTCTTAATGTTGTCTTTCATAGCATTATGACGATGTTTTAAAGTAAAGGTAAAGGTCTCCCTTGCTCGAAAGCCAGTCGAATCCGACTCTAGGGTTGCGGTGCTCATCTCCGTTTCAAAGCCGAAGAGCCAGCGCTGTCCGAAGACGTTTCCGTGGTCATGTGGCCGGCATGACTAAACACCAAGGCACACGGAACGCTGTTCCCTTCCCACCGAAGTGGTCCCTATTTATCTACTTGCAATGTCTTGCTTTCGAACTGCTAGGTTGGCAGGAGCTGGAACTAGAGACGGGAGCTCACTCCGTCATGCGGCACCCGGGTCTCGAACTGCTGAACTACTGACCTTCCACAGCCTGCAGTTCAGCGTCTTAACCACTTGAGCCACCGCAGCTCCTGACGATGTTTTAATCTGTTGTGAATTGCCCCGAGCCTGGTGCACTCAGGGATTGGGCAATCCAGAAATGTAAAATAGAAACAAATAAATAAATGGCCACCGGAGGCGCTGCAGAGGCACACCCAATGGCAGTCCATCCTCAGAACTTACCAAAGTGGTCCAGGAAGAGTTTGCCCTCCTCCCCCCCCCCCCCAAGGCCTGCTTTTGATACATTTGGGATTAGGACACAAAAAAGCAATACTCCCCTTCCCCATTCTTCTTGGTACGCCGTATCTTGGCACACCAGATCTCATAACGTGGCAGAGAGGGATGAGAAATAAATGACTAGAATTCCATCCGTTCCGTTCACAGCCTCTCATGAAACTTATTACAGATATCCAGACTTTTTTTTCTTTTTGCTGTCAAGTTGCAGCTGACTTCTGGCGACCCCTGATGGGGGTTTCAAGGCAAGAGGCGTTCAGAGGTGGTTTGCCATGGCCGGCCTCCGTGTCGTGACCCTGGGCTTCCTTTGGTGGCCTCCCATCCAAATACTAGCCAGGGCTGACCCTGCTTAGCTTCTGAGATCTGGCGAGATCAGGCTAGCCTGGGCTATCCGGCTAGCTCAAAACAGCCACTTCTCAAAGCTGTGTGGGGCACGACAGAGAGGAAGGATGGAAAGGGCGCTGAGGCCACTCACATCCAGGATGGGCTCGTTGCAGAGGCCGCAGCGGGGAGAGAAGAGCTGGAAGTAGTCTCTCTCGCAGTAGGGGGCGCCGTCCTTCTCGAAGAAGTTGCTGCCCCCCATCTCCTTCTGGCAGTGGGTGCAGACAAAATGCTCCGGGTGCCAGGTGCTCCCCAGCGCCGTTACGACCTGGGTGAAGAGGGAAGACGACAGGGTAACCAAGGAAAGGAAGGGTGCATTTAACCAGTGGGTCACAAAAGAGAAAACAAAAGGACCTCCCCACCCCCCTTTTCTTCCAAAGTTTTCCAGCTCCCCTCCTCTCCCTTCCTTACGCCTGAAATCTCCTCGCTTTATCTCAAAGGCTCGCCCTGGATTGTAATCCGTCCCACGTCGTGTTTACCTCCTGGAAACTTCGTGAGCCAAATCGAGCAGAGAGACTACAGCCTCGCCTGAAATCATTCCACGAGCATCATCACCTCAGGCCGCCACAGCCCAAACTGAGCACCGTGGCTGTCTCTCGTGGGTCCCTTCCTTCCACGGCTGCTGGAAACAGCACATTCCCTGGGAGAATTCTTGCAGCAGTTGAAAATCGCGGGCAGCAACCCTAGTTCACGGGCCACTCTCAGCCTAACCCCGATCTGGTCTACCTCCATTCCCATCTTTGGTAGCAGCATCCACCCACCTCCCCTGCCGCCGCTGCCGCTCACCTGCCCCGCGATGGGCTTCTGACACGAAGCGCACAGCCCCTTGGCGGTGGTGGAGATCCCCTGGCGGCTGAGGTCAGACTCCAGCATGACAAGCATGCTATCCAGGTTCCCGCTGGGCTGGGCCGGGGACGTCTGTGAGGGCGCCGCAGGGGGGCTGGGGCAGACGGACGAGAGCAGCGGCAGCTGGGCCGAGGACACCCGGGCAGGAGCGGGGGGAGGGGACACGGTCGATGGAGCAGCTGCAGGGAGCTAGAAGGGGAAAGGGGCGAGAAGTCAAACGGGGCCAAGAGTCCTCAAGAACGGTGAGTCCTCCAGGCAGGGCCAGAACCACTTTTTGAGTTGAGCACCTTGCCTAGAAGAAGAAGAAGAGATTGGATTTATACCCCGCCCTTCACTACCCAGAGGTGTCTCAGAGCGGCTTACAAACTCCTTTCTCTCTCCCCCCCCACAACAGACACCCTGTGAGGTAGGTGGGGCTGAGAGAGCTCTTGACAGAAACTGCTCTTGAGACAAGAAGAGATTGGATTTATACCCCGCCCTTCACTACCCGAAGGAGTCTCAGAGCAGCTTACAAACTCCTTTCCCTTCCCCTCCCCACAACAGACACCTTGTGAGGTAGGTGGGGCCGAGAGAGCTCTGACAGAAGCTGCTCTTTTTCAAGGATAGCCTATCCTGTTGTCCGCATCAATGCCTCCACCCGACTCTCCTTCTAAAATGGAACAGCCAACTATAGTCACAAGAGCAGCACAGCGATCAAATGAAACTGGATCCACTCAGCCGAAACCAGGTTCGACTTGCCACTATTCCAATTTGGGGATGAATTTCCCAGGTTCAAGCAGCGAGCAGCACCTCAAGCGTCTGTGGAAGGAAGTAACCACCTTCCTCCTCTGATTAGCAGATAACAGGACCTGCCCTTCCTGCACCATTCTAGAGGGAGTTGGATCCATTTACAAAGATACTTCTCGCAAGCAGAACCAAGTTAGAAACATTTCAACGACATCTAAACCAGTTTGGTGTAGTGGTTAAGTGTGCGGACTCTAATCTCCCTTCACTACCCGAAGGAGTCTCAGAGCAGCTCACAAACTCCTTTCCCTTCCCCTCCCCACAACAGACACCCTGTGAGGTAGGTGGGGATGAGAGAGCTCTGACAGAAACTGCTCTTTTTCAAGAACAGCCTATCCTGTTGTCCACATCAATGCCTCCATCCGACTCTCCTTCTAGAATGGAACAGCCAATTTTAGTCACAAGAGCAGCACAGCAATCAAATGAAACTGGATCCACTCAGCCGAAACCAGGTTCGACTTGCCACTATTCCAATTTGTGGGTGAATTTCCCAGGTTCAAGCAGCGAGCAGCACCTCAAGCGTCTGTGGAAGGAAGTACTGTATTTTCTGGTGTATAAGACTACTTTTTAACCCAGGGAAATCTTCTCAGAAATGGGGGGTCGTCTTATACGCCGGTAAATACGGTACTCTGGTCTTTCTATCGCTTTCAGTAGTACATGCTGCGCTTTGAGCATAGCAAACAACCGAAAAACAAAACAAGTATATCCCAAACTCTATATTTTAACTGGAAAAGTTGAGGGTCGTCTTATACGCCCAGTCGTCTTATACGCCGGAAAATACGGTAACCACCTTCCTCCTCTGATTAGCAGATAACAGGACTTGCCCTTCCTGCACCATTCTAGAGGGAGTTGGATCCATTTACAAAGATACTTTTTGCAAGCAGAACCAAGTTAGAAACATTTCAACGACATCTAAACAAGAACGGGGTGACATTTTTTGAAAACTGTCCAAATTGGCCTGGGGGGATTCACAGCCAAGAGGCACGAGGGGTCCCCTGGCAAAGTTTTTCAGGGTGCTTCCTTCTGTCCTGCCCTTGTTTCAAGCGGCATAGTCCACACGGGGGCTCTTCCCTCCACTAGGCTGATGGAAAATAAGTGCGGCTGTGCTTTGAAGAAGGAAATCATTGTTCTGAACCAAGTGAACCAAATTTTGTGCCAAAAATTGAATCCCATGAGCAGAAACGAAGTAAAAACAGATTCACATGGGATTCTTTTACATAATTCTGCTTCTACAATTTCTGTTAGGTATATAATCCTTACTTTGCATGTCCAAAGTGGCTTGGCTCAGGGAGGGCGCTGAACTGCTCCCCTTGGGAAATCTTCCTCTTTCTCACAAAGAAAGACAAACAGCTTCTGTAATTCTACCAGGCTCTGCTCCCTGGCTCGGTAACCATAAGGACTAGAAACTTGTTTGAAAATGAATTCTGGGAATTGCAGGACGTGGGGTTCAGTACCCGGTTTCTTCTCTTGTAGGCTGCAATTGCCCAAGCACAGCCTAGAGAAACAACCAACTCCCCTCCCCTCTGCTCCGCCCCAGTGCTAGCCAAGCCCCACACTCACGTTGCTCTGGACCCGGAAATCTGACAGAGAGGCCATCAGCTTGTCCAGCTCCAGGGTCGCCGATGTGGCCGATGGCTTTGCAGGAGCTGCAGGCCTGACAAGATGAACACACCATCAGGGAGGGCCAGGCGGTTCTCACAATCCCCAGTCAATGCAGAGATATTCTACAGGCAAAACTCCTGCAAGGGCCTTGCTAAAAGATCTAGCTACTGACAGGTACTGCCCTTGTTTCAAGCGGCATATTCCACACGGGGGCTCTTCCCTCCACTAGGCTGATGGAAAATAAGTGCGGCTGCGCTTTGAAGAAGGAAATCATTGTTCTGAACCAAGTAAAGCGAATTTTGTGCCAAAAGTTGAATCTCATGAGCAGAAATGAAGTAAAAACAGATCCACATGGGATTCTTTTACATAATTCTGCTTCTACAATTTCTGTTATGTGTATAATCCTTACTTTGCATGTCCAAGGTGGCTTGGCTCAGGGAGGGCACTGAACTGCTCCCCTTGGGAAATCTTCCCCTTTCTCACAAAGAAAGACGAACAGCTTGTGTAATTCTACCAGGCTCTGCTCCCTGGCTCGGTAACCATAAGGACTAGAAACTTGTTTGAAAATGAATTCTGGGAATTGCAGGACGTGGGGTTCAGTACCCGGTCTTCTCTTGTAGGCTGCAACTGCCCAAGCACAGCCTAGAGAAACAACCAACTCCCCTCCCCTCTGCTCCGCCCCAGTGCTAGCCAAGCCCCACACTCACGTTGCTCTGGACCCGGAAATCTGACAGAGAGGCCATCAGCTTGTCCAGCTCCAGGGTAGCCGATGTGGCCGATGGCTTTGCAGGAGCTGCGGGCCTGACAAGATGAACACACCATCAGAGAGGGCCAGGTGGCTCTCACAATCCCCAGTCAATGCAGGGATATTTTACAGGCAAAACTCCTGCAAGGGCATTGCTAAAAGATCTAGCTACTGACAGATGTTAAAACAGCTACTTATACCAAAGCTGTTGGGTGTGGCCTGTTATGCTAATGAGTTCCTGCTGTGCTTTTTCTACAAAAAAAGCCCTGATTCCAACAGTCACACACTTACCGAGATAAAGAACCACCATCTGCAGAATCTTCTGACCTGTCTTTGCCCTTCTCCCCATTGGGACTTTTGCTGGATGGAAACTGGGACATTATTTCATCTGTGGAGGACAAGAAAGGAGGGGCGAAGAGAAGGACGGATAAAAATTAATGTTATCCTCCTGCTGTTTCAGATGCTCGCCAGCAGGGGGAAGCAGAATGCTAAGAACATAAGAAGAACATAAGAACAAGAGAGAAGCCAATGTTGGATCAGGCCAGTGGGCCATTCAGTCCAGCACTCTGTGTCACACAGTGGCCAAAACCCAGGTGCCATCAGGAGGTCCACCAGCGGGGCCATACTCCAAAAGCCCTCCCACTGTGGCCGCCCCAAGCACCAAGAATACAAAGCATCACTGCCCCAGACATAGTATTCCATCTATACCTTGTGGCTAATAGCCACTGATAGACCTCTGCTCCAAAAGTTTATCCAATCCCTTCTGGAAGCTGTCTATGCTTGTAGCTGCCTCCACTTCCTGTGACAGTGAATTCCACTCTTACTCTAATTACTCTTTGGGTGAAGAAGTACTTCCTTTTATCTGTTCTAAACCTACCGCTCATCAATTTCATTGAGTGCCCACAAGTTCTTGTATTGTGAGAAAGGGAGAAAAGTACTTCTTTCTCTACCTTCTCTATCCCATGCATAATTTTGTAAACCTCTGTCATGTCACCCCTCTGTCATCATATCTCCAAGCTAAAGAGACCTAACCTCTTTAACCTTTCTTTATAGGGAAAGTGTTCCATCTCCTTAATCATTTTAGTTGCCCTTTTTTGCACTTTTTCCTATCATATCTTTTTTGAGGTGCAGTGACCGGAACTGTACACAGTATTCCAAATGAGGCCACGCCACAGATTTATACAGGAGCATTATGATGCTGGCTGATTTGTTTTCAATTCCCTTCCTAATAATCCCCAGCACAGCGACACACTGAGTCAACATTTTCAGTGAATTATCTACCATGACTCCAAGATCTCTCTCCTGGTCAGTTACATTCAGTTCAGACCCCAATCAACGTGTATTTATAGTCTGGATTTTTTTTTTTTTTTTGCTCCATTGTGCATTACTTTGCATTGCCCACACTGAAACTCGGTTGTCACGTTGACGCCCACTTGCCCAGCCTCGACAGATCCCTCTGGAGTGCCTCACCATCCTCCCTGGTTTTCCACCACCCTGAACGACTTAGCGTCATCTGCAAACTTAGCCACTTCACTGCTTACTCCCAACTCCAAATCATTAATGAACAAGTTAAAAAGCAACAGATGTAGTACCAAGCCCTGCAATACCCCACTGATTGCCACCTCTGTTGGGTGTTACAAGTTAAAACACTTCTTCAGTATTTACTGGGTTAATGATGTTTGTTAAGTCACATGTTTGTTTGTAACCAATCTGTTTAGAGAGTTAGAAAGCCCAGCAACTTCAGATCTAGTTTGTTGTTCTGATTGGAGACCAGAGTGCCAAGTATTAGCATTTTATGGTTCTTTGTTCTTACCAAGAAGAAGAAGTCTCTTCTGCCATTTTCAGTCTAGCTGTAAGGATGTGGGAATATTAGCGCTATGTTATTTTACATCCTGTGTACCTTTTCCCCATGCTAGGTTGTAGTAAACTTTTATACTTTTAAACACACCATGGACTCTGCCTCTTTAATACTCTGCTGATTTACTTTAAAATTAAGAATCCCCCAACAACCTCCCACTGTGAAAACTGCCCATTTATACTCACTCTCTGTTTCCTGTTAATTAATCAGTTTTTAATCACAAGAGGGCTTGTCCTCTTATCCTATGACTGCTGAGTTTACTTAGGAGCCTTTGAAGATGAACGTTATCAAAAGCTTTCTGGAAGTCTGGGTAAACAGCATCTATTCGGTCACCCTTGTTGTCCACATGCTTGTTCACCCCCACAAAGAACCATAAAAGTTTAGTGAGACAAGATCTTCCCTTACAGAACCCATGCTGATTCCTCCACAATAGCTTTTGTTCACCAGTGTGCCTACTAGTTCTATCTTTAATAATGGATTCCACCAACTTACCCGGTATCAACACTAGACTGACCAGCCTGTAATTTCCCGGATCTCCCCTGGAACCTTTTTTAAAGATGGGGGTTACATTAGGTACCGTCCAGTCCTTGGGAATGGAGGCAGATTTTAGTGATAGGGTGCATATTTTTGTCAGGAGGTCCACAAGTTCACATTTGAGTTCTTTCACAACTCTTGGATGTATGCCATCTGGGCCTGGTGATTTGTCAGTTCCTAATCTGTCCATCTCCTGCCAACCTACCAGTTCGAAAGCAAGAAATTGCAAGTAGATAAATAGGTACCACTTTGGTGGGAAGGTAACAGCGTTCCGTGCGCCTTGGTGTTTAGTCATGCCGGCCACATGACCACGGAAACGTCTTCGGACAGCGCTGGCTCTTCGGCTTTGAAACGTAGATAAGCACCGCAACTCTAGAGTCGGACTCGACTGGCTTTCGAGCAAGGGAACCTTTACCTTTACCTTTAATCTGTCCATCAGTTGTAGGACCTCCTCTCTCATCACTTCAGTCCGACTCAGCTCCTTCAACACCCCTCCCAGAATCAGCAGTTCTGCAGTAGGCAAGCACCTCCCACCTTCCACAGTGAAGACAGAGGCAAAAAAAGCATTCAGCTTCCCTGCCATTTTCCTATCATCCACTCTTGCCGTTCCCTTAGGTAAAGGTTTCCCTTGCTCGAAAGCCAGTCGAATCCGACTCTAGGGATGCGGTGCTCATCTCCGTTTCCAAGCCGAAGAGCCAGCGCTGTCCAGAGACGAGTCCGTGGTCATGTGGCCGGCATAACTAGACGCTGAGGCACACGGAACGCTGTTACCTTCCCACCGAAGCGGTACCTATTTATCTATTAGCAATTTCTTGCTTTCGAGCTGCTAGGTTGGCAGGAGCTGGGGCCAGAGACGGGAGCTCACTCCCATCACGCGGCACTCCGGTCTTAGCACGGAGTTAATACACTCGTGTCTGGTTGTGGAAAGTGCAGCCAAGTCACAGTGACTTATGGCAACCCTCCTAGTATGATTTTCAAGGGAAGAGACAAACAGAAGGGGCTTGCCATTGCCCGCCTCTGTTTAGTGACCCAGGACTTCACCGGTGGTCTCCCATCCAAGTACTGACCACGATCAACCCGAGATCAGATCGGATCCACGCGCAGGAGGAAGAAGAAAAGTTTCCTCCTACTTAGGACTTCCAGCACCCAACCAGGAGTTTCTGCCTGTGCCCCCTTTGGAAGATCGTAAGCAGAGGGATGCCGCCGCCATGCCCGCCTTCCCTTCTCTTCTGCCATAGCAAACAGGACTCTAGTTTGGTCTCAAAGCCAAGAGAGTGAGCAGAAGGGCCGCTGGAAGAACAGGGCAGGAGCCGGGGCAGCCGCGCCCCTCCCTTTGGAATGTCCCAAGGCAGAGGCGGCTTCTCCAGGCAACCTGGCGACCTCATACGGGTCAGAAGATGCAACTTCCAGGCAGATGTGAGCCGAGCACTCCCAACTCCGGACCTGCCAGGCAGAGATGTCCCGCTAGGCTTTCGGGTGAGGGCAGCGACGGCCCCCACCTCATCTGGCCCTCCCCCCCCCCCCGTTTTTCTGCCCCCACGAGGCGGTGGTGCAACTTGAAGTTTTTTAGTGCCGCCTGGGAATGCTGTGTATTATTTTACCTTCCTGAACTGCGGTGGCACAGGCAGTTAAATGCCTGTAGAAACAGTCATCTCGAACAGCTGTAACAGCGGTTCGAATACCACCGTGGTCGGGGTGAGCTCCCGACCCTTGCCCCAGCTCCTGCCATCCCAGCAGTCCGAAAGCCCCTCGGGGCAATTAGGTAAATGGGTACCTGTCCGTAGGAGGACAGGGGGGTACCCCTCCCTCGAAATTGGGCTCCAGCCGAGTGAGGAATCGAGAAGCGGCGGCGACATGGCGGCGGTCAGCACAGAGATGAAGAGAGGCAGCGACATCCCAAGGAGGCGGTTGGCTCGGCAGCTGATGACGTGGCCAGCAGGAGGACGTCCGGAGCCGTAAAGGACGTTGTGACGCCCACTGCGGCTGCGCACCAGGGCCCATAACCAACAGCCCCCGAGAGGAGTCGCCAGAGAGCCGAAAGAACAGCGGAGGCCGTGGAAGACGCACCGGAGAAAAACTGGAAGAAGTCGCCCACTCGCCGGATAAACGAACGATCGGAGCCGGGAGGGTACCTGGTAGGGCTCCCCCCACCCCAGATGTACTGTGGCCATAGTTAGGGTTTCTGCATAGGTCTCTGCAGCATGCACCGTGTAAGCCGCTCAGAGCCCTTCGGGGATGAGCGGGGTACAAATTGAAAGTATAAATAAATATATAAATAAATTTATTCATTTATTAATGTGTTTTATTGCTGTTCACCGCCCGGAGCCTTGTGCATACAGGGAACGGCGGTCTAAAAGTTTATTTTATAAATAAATAATTTTGGAAGTGAAGAAGTGAAGGAAAGAAACGGGGGGGGGGGGGGGGGGGCAGGGGGGCGCAATACGCCCACTGGAACAGGTATGCAGCAAAAAAACCCCAGTCCTGCCCTTGGCTGAGGCTCTTGATTAAAGGTTTCCAATCGCGACCCAGAGAGCGATAAACGCTCCAGGGCACCCCTCTCTAGGCACAGGGCCGGATGACCACCCAGTGGCAACGGTACATACCGCCAGGGGGTAGGAGAGCTTTTGGGGGGTGGGGAGGGGAGGAACAGAATTGCCCTGCAGGATCGGGCCATCCAGAGCAGCATCCAGTTTCCCCACAGCGGCCAACCAGACGCTCCAAAGAGTTTAACCTCTGATCCTCCTAGGGGAGATAATCCACCCTCTTTGCGACTCATGGAGCAGTCCAAAGAGAACGGGGATAAAATGCAACACTGGGAAACACTACCAAGGCTTCATCTGACTCGCAGTTTAGCAACACTAACCACCCAATGCCACTGCCAGGGCCGAGAACACATTTCTCCGTTCATTCTGTTGTAGTCCGCCTTTCTCATTGCGACTCAGGGCAGATTACAGAATATACAAACAACACCACAGAACAGACATACAAGGCAGTAAGTCTAGATTACGACATTTGAAAGCAGTGCCATCAAAAATGTGACCGATGCAGCTCACTGTAAACACGTGACTTGACCCTTCGGACACAAAGTGCCTCTGAACTGATGCAGCCGACAAGATCTCTCTGGTACAACGAGGTCCGGGAGCACTTTGTGCTGGAAAAGATCTCCGACTGTCTTCTCCAATCTGAGATTTATCCGAGAACGACTCTGTTCACAGAACAATGGATTCCATTTCTTGAATATGTCACTACAAATAATATTCAACCACATGATCCCTCTCACTGGACTCCGCTGCATCCTTAAATATCAAGAACTCGTCTAGATAGGATAGATTTGTTATATTGATTGGTGCAATGCTTGGCCATGCAGTGCTTACTGGCACTGACAGACAACCTTCGCTGTTTATGATGCGCATGGATGTAATTTACTGTTTTGTTTAGGTAAAGGTAAAGCTTCCCTTGCTCGAAAGCCAGCCGAATCCGACTCTAGGGTTGCGGTGCTCATCTCCGTTTCAAAGCCGAAGAGCCAGCGCTGTGCGAAGACGTTTCCGTGGTCATGTGGCCGGCATGACTAAACACCAAGGCGCACGGAACGCTGTTACCTTCCCACCGAAGTGGTACCTATTTATCTACTTGCAATTTCTTGCTTTCGAACTGCTAGGTTGGCAGGAGCTGGAACTAGAGATGGGAGCTCACCCCGTCTTGCGGCACCCGGGTCTCGAACTGCTGAACTACTGACCTTCCACAGCCTGCAGTTCAGCGTCTTAACCACTTGAGCCACCGCAGCTCCTACTGTTTTGTTTACTGCTAGTATATTCGCTAAGTTCTATTACTATAACTCACTGATCGTAAATACTTCCTAGTTGTGTTGTAAACCTTATAAAATATTAATAAACATTTTAAAATTAAAAAAAAAAAAACAGGGGCCGCCTACACCGCTTTGCTCAGCTAAGTTGGGAGCCCTCCTCCAGCGGCTCTGCACTGGAGAAAAGCTCCAGACTAAGCCAAGCAGAATGGCAGGATGTGACCCACTGCCAACTGACATCCACCGGAGGACCAAAACCAGGAAAGAGCCACGGGAGAGCCATGGAGGAACCTCCAGCGTGTTTTGAAGAAGAGCTGCACCACGCAGGGTGGGTGAAACCTCCCCACTTTCCTGACCTCAAATCCTCCCCCCTCCCCGTTTGCCCCACAATAATACAGGTTGCCTTTATGAAGCCTGCATGTTTCTCCGAGCCAGGCAAACAGCAGCCCCGGAGGACTGTTTGAGATCTGGGGGAAAGGAGCAAAGAGAGAGCCCTGATCCAATTCCCCCACCCTCTTGGCTGACATTCAGAGGTTAAAAAAAAAACCCCAATCAGGCTGGATATTAATTCATGGATCTCCTAATAACTCTTCTTTTTTGACCTGATATTGGGAGGGGAGGCTCCATCTTTGCACGTAAGAGGGAACCAGCAAGAACACAAGGACTGGCACGTGGGATTAGCCCAAAAGTCCCTCTGGCCCAACAGACTTTCTTTATTTCATGCATATTTATTTATTTATTTGACATTGGCCAGCCAGGTACTCCCTAGGAAACTCCAAAACAGAGCACAGAAGTGAGAGCCACGCTCTGTTGTACATCATTAGCACTGTCTGGTATTCAAAGATAAACTGCTCCTGTACATGGAGGCTCTATTTTTTTAAAAAAGCTGGCTAGGCCGGCAGTCCTTCCAATAGATCTCCCCTTCCATGGATGCACCTAATCCTTCTGACAAGCCATTTAACCTGGCAGCTATCCACAGTGTCCTGCGGCAGTTAAATCCAACGGTGTGGATCGTTTTTGTGGTGTGCAAAAAAAAGACCTGCTCTCGTTGTAAGGGCTGAGCCTCGGCATATCCCCCTGCAGAAGGAAATTTACCCGCTGAGCACCAGCTCCCCCCGCCCGCTGCCCACATCCCCTTGTACCTGTGATGTTGAACTGGGTCGCGTTAAGTTCCTGCAGGAGCCGGTCCAGCTCGCAAAGGCCTGCCCCGAGCACTCCGCTGGAGGAGGAGAAGGGTGGTGGACCGCCTTCCTTGGGCTTGGGCGAGCGAGGCTTGCAGACGGTGCTGGAAAAGACAGGCCAGGGAGAGCGGCGCTTTCAAGGTCTGTGGGGCAGCCGCCCCGAGGGGAAAGCACTTGGGGGTTGCAAAGGGGGGGGGACACACGACACAGGCTGACCACTCGTGCCACACCCCGAGGAGAAGGCTGCGGCATCCATCCACTCCAGGGAAGATGGGGAAGGAGCACGAAGGGGAGGCTGCTATTTATAGGATCCCTCGGCTTAATGGAAGCTCTGGAACAGGGCCAGTGGAGCTGGGCACGGCTCCCAGGGAGGCCACCCTTCTTCACAGCCATCTTTCTTCCCCACTCTTCCTCCTCCTCCTCCTCCTCCCGCCTCCATCCCTCCGGCACCTGCGCCCCAAATAAGGCCAGATTAGGGGGCCTGACTGGAGGCGGCCGCCCTTTATGAAGATGCCTCATTCGACGGGAGACAAAGCTTCCGAGTTTCGAAGCTGTGCGTAAGGAGGGAGAATTTTGGCAGCTGCCGCTTCTCCCGCCAAAGCGGGGCCCGTGTGAAGGAGAAGCCACACAGCGTGGAATTGCTCCCTGATGCAACTATGGAAGGCACAAGACTGACAACCAGCCCCGTAGCTGGGGACTTTGTGGGGAGGGGGCCTTGGGGGGCGGGCAGTAGCCAATTTTTGCTTCTTATTCTGTTTACTTTGTTGTCAAAACCCTGGGCTTTTTTTGTAGCAGGAACGTCTTTGCATGTTAGGCCACACACCCCTAATTAAATTAGCTTTGATTTAATTGGTGGGACACCTTAGAACTCCTAAGGCAGCCCTGTACCCCCCAGGCTCCAGGGCACGGGGGGGTAATGCCCAGTGGCTGTAGGTTCCCTCCACACGCACGCACCCCTCGGCAAGGGCAGGCAGGCCCTGCAGAGCATCTGGCTCCCCTCCCCCCAAGGATCCCCCCAAGGATCCCCCCAAGGATCCCCAGTTCCACAGCACAAGGTGCAGCCTGACGTCCACCCTCGGCTCCCTCCTGGGGCTGGGAGAGGTGAGGCGCACAGCGGCCGGGCTGGCCACAGAGCCGCTGCGTGTGGGCTTGTTGGCACAATGGAGTGCAGCCAGGCGTGCCTGCCTTGCCTGGCTGGCTGGGCTTACCTGCTGATGGTGGGCGACACAGCGAGCCTCTAGTGGAAGCCCGAGATGGAGGCTTCTCCTTGCCCCATTCACACTCGCTGCCTGCCCAGGCCGCTCTCTCAAGCCCAGCCTTGCTGCTGCCGCTGCCCCTGCTTGTGCTGCCCTCCTCCTCCATGCTGTCGGGTCAGGTGGCCCGGGCGGGGGGAGCCGTGGCTCGTGGAGGGGCCCATAAAAACCACTAGGGTGGCAGGCCCCGTGGTCATTACGGGCAGGAACTCATTAGCATAATAGGCCACACCCCTGACAGCACAGCTCATTAGCATATATCGGCCACACCCCTGTGTTACCCGAAGTGTGCTCATCCAGCCACACCCACCTTTTGCTTCTTATTCTCTTTACCTTGTTTGTTGTCAAAATCCAGGGCCTTTTTTTGTAGCAGGAACTCCTTTGCATGTTAGGCCACACACCCCTAATGTAGCCAATCCTAATGAGTTCCTGCTGTTGGGTGTGGCCTATTATGCTAATGAGTTCCTGCTGGGCGTGGCCAACTTGGGAGCCAGC